GAAACAAAAATGTGCCTGCTTTATATAGCCGAGGACCGACCATGATTTGCATGCGAATGACGGGACAACGAGATTTCGCGTTAACTGTCCGAGACCGCCCGGCATAAAACATGGGCGCCGCCATTTTGGTTCTTTTTACAGTTGAGCAATCGGAGTTTGCACGACGCACAGATTCGCGGGCGTTTCCGAGGTAGGCCATTTTCACAATTTTCCCCACAAGAAGACACATCCTTGTCTTACACCCCTTTCTACTTTTATGTATTTACTGAATTAAATTTCTATCCATATGCAGGCGGTTTTCTCCCAGTATCAGTTCTGGATTATTAATATCCTTCTCAAATAAATCAGGCTTACCTAACAGTTCAAATAGTTCTTTGTCATGCATTTTATCAAACGTTTTTGCATAATTTCTGAGTTAACAATGCCAAATGTGAACGATATATCACATTTGCATTCTCATATATGAGAAAAAAACATAGCGTAACTTGTTTTGTGTCTTAAAAGTAATATTTTTCTGTACACACAAACACATTTTGCGGTGGCTATTTTTTTAGCCTTATGAGGTATATTTTCTGATGACGAGGGTTGACCATGGAAATTCCACGGTGATTATCAATGTAAGATTTACATATTTGTAAGCAAGAGATTTGAAGTGATTATCTGTGTTATGATTAATATATTCATGTAAATGGGATATTAAAACGTTTTAGGCCAAAAAGCGAATTATAAATTAAAAGATAAATTATTAGATATCATGTGAGACGATCAGATTGCTAATAGGCACTTAAAAATTATTAAGAAGAAAATATTCCCTTTTTATTAACAAAATACTATCAAGAATAGGATTTTGTTGAAAACAAAGCATTTTCCTATGATTTGGTTATTTTAAAGGTCACTAGGTTTAATAAGTTCGAATCTGTCAAAATTCAAGACAGTTGTTTATTTTTTGCTTCCGTCATCGGTCTCAATATTGAAAGGTCACTGCGAGGTGAGTTCATAAAGGCTGAAGCACTGAGTTCTACAACAAGTAAACCGGAAACGAAAAGTTAAGAAGCATATCTTCCCCTCTGACTTCAGATTCTCTCCAGCCAGTAAAAGACATTTTGAAGACCCGGTTCATTAAATAAAACCCCAAATGACTCAACATTCGATAATCACATGCTGTAGTTCCGACAAAACTTCTCCTCGTGACTTTTTTCTCTCCCACTTGGCCACTTTAACGTCTATTGAAAAGAACTGTCTTCCTTTAGCGACCAGCTGGCAGAAATTAGCATTTTCTATCCTTTATGTATTGTTTCACAATCGTGTGACAATGAATAATTTTGTTATTTGTTAACGGAGAGTACTGCCATTTTCTGGGGTTCTAGGCCGTGCAGCAGTTTCCGGTGGGGCTTCTCGATGCTACGATGAAGTGGACATCTACGGTTGTGCTTTCTGTTTCTAATTCGGGCGTCATTTTTTCTATCTATACCACTTGAAGTGTTACTATCTCGTTACCTTGACTTCTCAGTCCAGTTACAAAAATGAAAAAAAAAAAAAAAAACATGCTGAAGAACCAAACCAGATCAACCATACATAATATAAACCCAAATTATCTTCACTAATATAAGGGGTCTATCATTCAACTATTCAGAGGTTGAGCTACACGTTTAAGAGATTAAGCTTGACCTGTTCCTATTCGAAACTGGACCCAATTCGTCTATTCCAATTCAAGACTACACAATCCCGGTCTACTGCTCATCAAACATGACCCTCTAAATAGACATGACCATGTGCTTGGGGCCGAGATCAAGGATGAGTTTCCCTGTGACAGAGACGGCGTCTGCCATCCAACTATCCAGAGATTGAGATACACCTTCAAAAGATATTAGCCTGGCCTCCTGTTCATGTCAGAAAGTGGACTCGATCCGTCTATTCCAATTCAAGAATTCACGATCCTGGTCTACTCACCAAATATGAACCTCTAAATAGACACAGCTATATGCTTGGGGCCTACATCAAGGATGTGTTTTCCTGTGGCAGAGACCCTCAAAACGAAGATCTTGACTTCTCATTCATGAGCTTTCGTTCATAGAATGTTTGACATAATTGCGGAGATATTCATTCCTTTATCCCTCATTCACACTTTCACTACTATTTCATTATTATCATGTCAGATGTTCGGACAAGTTACATTCTTTAGTATCACTGACTCGGTCCTTCGTAGTTAGAACACATCATGCTGTATCCACTGTGGAAAACCATCGGTATTCCTTTGATAAAAAAAACAATTTCAACTTGGGCAGCTTCATTATCAGAATTGTTACTTGGAACAAACTCCCGAGAGGATGCTTCCCTGGCAACAGTAATATTGGCCTCTTTAAGTCCGGGATCAACCAATAACTTTTTTACATATCCTCATAATACTCACTTATGTCCCCTCCTACTCCTTTACAACCTCATTCAGTAACCCTATACATTGAGTGTCCCTTGGGCCTTGTATTGGGTGGACTAACAAAAAAAAAAAAAAAATAAAAAAAACTTGATTTATTCTAATGTATCCAATACAAAGCTATTAAATGTTAAAATTGAGAATAATCCCTTACATTATTTTGATAGTAGGTGTTTATTTATGTTAAGTTATTTACATATGGGCACTTTGGTGGGGGAATTATTAATGAACACAGCTGCTTAACTATTACTACTGAGTAGTGAGTTTGATCCTCATTGGGGGATCCATGCAAGCACTTTCTAAGATCAATAGTTAAAAAGGCTTTAAGCAAGTGTAATATGAGAGTATTGATAAAGACCATTTTTCTTCAAACACTGTGGACTGGCGCTACAGAATCAAAAAGAATGAACTATACCAAATAACAGAAACCACATCACTTGAAGACTATCAGCTGCAACAGCAACAACTAAAATAGCATATGTAACTTGAACAGAAAATAATGACATAATCAAGATGTTGACATTCCACAATATTTCAAATAAAAGGTTAGGAAGGAAACTGTCACCAATACTGGAAAGAGTGATAACAGCTACTGAACTTGAAAAAACATGTTTCCCTGAAAAATTGTTTTAATAGAAAGATTTTATAAATTTCAAACGAAAGCAGTAATGGCTGCTCAGTTAATGAATGCCAAATGTTTCCTTATAGGGAAACGGCTAATATTACCATTACCATATTAGTAATTTTGCTTAGCAGATGACAGTACCTTAAGTTCTCAATTCAAATTTCTTTTTATGCCCATGAACTCTTGTTGCTAGAAAGACATAGCCATAACATTGTGAATCCTGTAGCCCATCAGGGTCATAGGGACCCCACATGCGCTGCATCTGCAGTAGAATTGGTGTTTTTTGGACAAGATAACCTGATGGAACCCAACCTTCTCCAGTTTGAATTCAGAGTTGTCCTTCTTCTAGACCAGTTGGCATCCAAGGTTATAGAACCCAGTCTATCCTGCTATTTACCCATAGCTGGAGACAGGAGAAGTGGATTTATACCTTTCCCAGTGGTATTAGCACATAAGTGAATGTAATGGATCTGACTGGGATTTGAAATTGGCTCTCCAATTCCTCAATCTGAGCCACTATCCATTACTCCACTGTGTCTCCTTCCAACCATACCATACTCCTATAACATATTCAATAGTAAATTAAAAATGAATGCTCTGAATTCATCATAAATAGCATTCAGCAGGATTTGAACCCTTAACTTTATATTACATGCAGGATGTGATGGTACACTTAATTTTTTGAGATATGCTATATATTTATTTTATAAAAGACAGAGTATAATAAAGTCTTAATCGGTATTTTACAAATGATAGATTAAAAAAAATAGGTAGACTACTGTATGAGGTTTGTATTTACCCTTCTGAAGGGCATACACTTATCTTTTGAGCTAAGCGACCTTAAAAGAGACTGTAGCATCCTGAAAATGTTTACAGCAAACAGAGATAAGAGGCCGATGCACTTTTTTAGTTATTATTTTTGTCAACAAGATCAGGCAAATTACTTTGATCGACTTAAAAGAAAAAGTCAAAAGCACAATTTTAGTGTCATTGTTGTTAGTTGAAAGCTGCTAATATTTGTCATGAAAGGAATGAAAGGTTAGATTGGGGCTGGACTTTAACTGACTGCTGTGCATCCTGGGTTTGATGGCATTGATGCAAACATTACTGGAGCAGGTTTATTTTCTTCTTGCTAACATTACCAACCACTTTTACATTAAATTGGTTGATGGTAGAGAAGGTCTTTGTGTTTTAATTTATAATTCAGTGTCAATATCTATGAAAGAAAGCCTCTTGTCAAAAGACTTATGGTTAAATGGTGTTGGGATAATTTATGTGAGATGTGTCTATTGGATAATTTGCACGAGTATGTTATGAATACTGGCCGCTGCATGTGCTATCTTTAAAAACATCATAACAGTTGTAGCTCAGTGTTTAGGAAATAAATTGATTGATTCATTTTTATGGTTTATCAACTCTTTGCAGGTTATTTAAAGCCAGAAAATATTCTTAAATTGTAAGAATTTCTTTTTCAGTTAATAATGATTTAGTGATACAAGTTTTATTAATTAACCCATAGATAGGGGGAGGCAGAATCATGCCTAATCAGAATTTTATAAACAAACAATAAATTATAAGTGGATATAAAGTGGGGGATCAGTTTTATACTACAATAAATATATAAACTAATTCCTCATTTCGCGGCCACGGTAGATGCTGGGTGTTTTATTGATTGATTTGTTTCTTATGTCTTATCAACCCTTTTCAAGTTATCTAAAGCAAGAAAATATTTTTTGATTGTAAGAGTTTTTATTGAAGATAATAAGTTTAGTGACACATGTCTTACTAATTAATCCATAGCTAGGGGAAAAGAGGTGAATTCATACTTTTCCCAAGGGTATTTGCAAGTAAGAAAATATAACAATCTTAACAGGAATTGAAACTCGGCTCTATGATTAAAAATTTTGAACCATTATTCATTACATCATTCATATATCCAAGCTTATGGCACATGGTATTCTCAAATGGTCACCCATCTAGGTACTGTCCAGGCTCCATGTTGCTTAACTTTGGAGGTTGTATGGGAACTGATGCTTCAACATGATGTGGTCATAAGCCTTTAGAAAATAGAAGTACAACCCATAGAGTAGTTAATCCTCTTTTGGGGTGAGCAATATCCCAATATATAACCAAAAGTGTAGCAAGCCCTTTCAAGAGTAACCTAGACAAGATCCTGCTGACATAGATATGATCTCACAGGGATCCTATGTTGGCATACATCAGTGTTGTCAAGTATTGCCTTTGCGAGGTTTAACCCTGCATATGAGGAGTATTCATTCCAAGAAAACTAAACATATGAAGGAAGGTGGTTACGAGGTCTGATGTCATGGCACCCAGAAGAGGATAGGTTCATCCTCAAATTCATGAAGGATTTGTAGAAAAAGTTCCCAAGAAAGACCAATAAGTGAGAGGTTATTGCTTCCCGCTTTAGCTGTCGCACTCCCGAAAATATTTGCAAGAGTCACGAAATACATTAAGTTTATTGTCTTATATGATCATTTAGGTCCAATATGGCCCACATACCTTTTTACTTGTTTACTACAAGAAATTGTTTACTTTCACTAATTTAAAAATAAAACAAAAACAATGTCTATTGCTTAACACTCTCTATGCAATGGACAAGATTAAATTATCCATTTCTTTGCAGCAAAATGATCTTAAAATAATCTAAGATTTCAAAACTTTTTGCTAAATCTGACTCGAAGTGCCATTATATCAATAAACATAATTCTCTCTTTGACTTTTCCAATCCAGACAGTTATAAGTCTGTCTGTATCTCTTCAGGACATGGGCAATCATGGTACTCCACAACTTTTTATCCTTTGTAACTCTTAGTTAGGTTTGTCTTTTATGTTATAAAGGAGCACTGATATTACATAACAGTTGAGAACTCTTTTCTTTGTTTCTAATGAAATTTTCCAGTTTCTTAATAATTTGCTGAGCTTTTGGAAGGCATCTTTTGCTGTCCCAATATGACTTCGGATTTCCATATCACATTTTCTGTTATCTGTTAGAACATTTTCCAGTCTGGCAAAGGTCAGGTAGGTTTTATCATCTCCCAGTTGCATCTTTGTCTTTGGGCAGAGTGTGACTCAGTTGTGACTCCATCAGAAGACAGAGGTGCAACTGAGGAAAATCACACTGTGTAGTGCTCAGCCCTGGAGAACAGATGCTGAAGGCTGCACCCCTCATAGCACAAGAGAAAGAGATTGGTGCTAACCCTAACCCCGGCCAGTGTAATTGACAGTTGCAGGGGTTTGGGGAATTTTTATTCTTGTCCTGACTGTATGGGCTCGGGTTTCCCACATTAAAATCTAACTTTGAGTCACATTCTGACTCAGTGATGAGGCTGGAGTAAATATACTTTCCAGATATTTAAATTTTTGTACTTACTTGATTTTGGTGTCACCAATTTGTAGTTTGCATAAAAGTATACATATAATTGTACTCTTCTGTTAAATCATTATTTTGTTTCACTCTGAATTTGCCACCCATTCCCAATATGGATTTAGAGTACTATGGTTATCAGTTTATTTATCTTGTAGGATGTGTAATTCACAGAAAACTCATAGGACACCTATGACACATTTATTGCACTACTCCTTCTCTATTATACATATTACAATGTTTGATAGTAAAGGTGGTAGGAGGATGATTTCAATAGTGGTAGTAGTCATAGTAGGCAGTGACACTTGGTCTTTTTTTCTCTGATTTTCAATATATAGTTTCTAATAAAATAAAAGGTTATAAAATAGAGGCAACAGAGGCAAGGAAAAGCAGCAAAATCAGTGGGACAAAGTCAAGTGCAATGCAAGAAACTGAAACCTTCTCTGAATGCTAGTTTTAAATGAGGATTATAAAATTACAACAATATGATCTGTTTCTTCCTACAGACAGAATTTACTGTAACATTCTATATGGAACCATTGAAGTAAATGAAAGTTTTTGATACTTTTATTGATAATGTCCTACCTGTGATATCAAGGGTTATGTATACATAAAAAAGCTAGTTATTTAAGTAAGCAATAAGATATTCATAATTTCAATGATTTTCTTTGGATTTTCATTAAATTATTTGTTATGTTTGGTTTGGCTTGTTTTGTTTTATGACATATGAACCTCAATGGGTTATTTAATGCTGACAAGATTTTTTATTGCTGGTAATATTTTTTTTTCCAAAAATGTATTGCTGGTAAAAAATTTTCCAAAAAAGTATTGCTGGTATTAAAACCGATTTTTATACTTTCATAGTGTTTTGACCACTTGGAGTGTGGTAACCATCTGCCCATAGCTAGGACCCTAACAGGTTCTACATATATATATTAGAAACTACATATATATATATATATGCATGTTTCATTAAAAACGACAGACAAGGTACTACGGTTGAGCTTTTTATTTAATTTTTCTTGTGTTCTGACAAGAGCTTTCTTTTTGGACAAAGAGTGTGTAAGAACTGTCCGAATGTTCTGTATTTCCGAGCGCTTTCGGCTATACCTTTAGCCATTATCAAGGATGATTCAATTATCAGCTTAGTAGAGTGTGTGTGTTCTGTGTATATTCAGTGTGTGGTAGTGATGTTTTTAGTTTCCGAATACGGTTAGCACATTGTGGCTTTGTTCATAGTTAATATTGTTAAGAGTTGGCTTTTTCTTTTTTTTTATTATTAGAGCTTCCATTATTTTTAGTCTTTTTTTGCAAGTGGATGCAGTTAATATATTTGTGTTTTCTACTAGTATGTTCCTAATAGTGTCAGGTAAATCTGAGTGTGTGTTTAAATGTGTTCTGATGGAACTGTGATCAGATAGGTGTAATGTAAGACGTCTGGATAAACATGTGGTTGTGTCATTGATGTAATTATTTATGAGTCCGGTTTGGTGAGGAACGCAGTTCCTTAAAGGGCATTTGAACTCATAGATAATGTTTGTTCTTTGTAATTTTGACTTAGTTGATGTGTTGTTATTTTTGAGGATAAGGTTGGCTGTCTTAAATTTTTATAATAGATAATAAGTTTGATTTTTTATTAGGATCAATAGGAGTAGTATATTTCTTTATAATATGTCTTAGAGAAGATTCATCTTGTTTGTAATTAATATGCATTTGGTTATTGTAATAAATGTGTATGTGATTTTTAGTTGTGTGTTCGCTATCGTTATTACTTGCTTTGGGGAGGAATAGTCTAATTTGTTGGTCTATAAGGTAGTTAGGAAACCGTTGTTAATTAGTGTTTGTTTAACGTTGTTAAGTTCTTTGAGAAATGCATATTAATTATTAAATTACAAAGAACAAACATTATCTATGAGTTCAAATGCCCTTTAAGGAACTGCGTTCCTCACCAAACCGGACTCATAAATAATTACATCGGCTACACAACCACATGTTTATCCAGACGTCTTACATTACACCTATCTGATCACAGTTCCATTCAAACACATTTAAACACACACTCAGATTTACCCGACACTATTAGGAACATACTAGTAGAAAACACAAATATATTAACTGCATCCACTTGCAAAAAAAAAGACTAAAAAATAATGGAAGCTCTAATAATAAAAAAAAGAAAAAGCCAACTCTTAACAATATTAACTATGAACAAAGCCACAATGTACTAACTGTATTCGAAACTAAAACATCACTACCACACACTGAACATACACAGAACACACACACTCTACTAAGCTGATAATTGAATCATCCTTGATAATGGCTAAAGGTATAGCCGAAAGTGCTCGGAAATACAGATCATTCGGACAGTTCTTACACACTTTTGTCCAAAAAAGAAAGCTCTTGTCAGAACACAAGAAAAATTAAATAAAAAGCTCAACCGTAGTACCTTGTCTGTCGTTTTAATGAAACATGCATAAAGGAAGGATTGTCCTAAATATACACATATATATATATATATATATATATATTAGAAACTATATATATATATTATATATTAGAAAATATATATATATATACATATATATATATATTAGAAACTATATATATATATATATATATATTAGAAACTATATATATATATATATATATATATTAAAACTATATATATATATACATATATTAGAAACTATATATATATATATATATATATATATATATATATTAGAAACTATATATATATATATATATATATATTAGAAACTATATATATATATACATATATATATATATATATAGAAACTAACTATATATATATATATATTAGAAAACTATATATATTTACATATATATATATATATATATATATATATATATATAATATATATATATATATATATATATATATATATAGAAACTATATATATACATATATATATATATATATACATAAATATATATATATATATATATATATATATATAGAAACTATATATATATATATATATATATATATATATATATATATATATATATATATATATATATATATATAAAAACTATATATATATATATAGAAACTATATATATATATATATTAGAAACTATATATATATATATATATATATATATAAATATATATATATATTAGAAACTATATATATATATATATTAGAAACTATATATATATATATATTAGAAACTATATATATATATATATATATTAGAAAACTATATATATATATATATTAGAAAACTATATATATATATATATATATATATATATATATATATATTAGAAACTATATATATATATATATATATTATATATATATAAACTAAACTATATATATATATATTATATAACTATATATATATATTAGAAACTATATATATATATATATATATATATATATATATAAACTATATATATATATTAGATATATATATAGATATATTAGAAAAACTATATATATAGATATATTATATATTAAAAACTATATATATATAGATATATTATATATTAAAAACTATATATATATAGATATATTTTATATTAGAAACTATACTAAATTATTTACACTATTTACATTGTTCAAACCATTGTCCTCATCATGATGTTTTGGCTGTTGTGTGTTCCAGCCTTCTTCAGATGATCTACATCAGT